ATATGTTTAGTATGTTTGATTGACTATGTTGAGAGGAATGTTACATGTTTAAGCAGATTTTTGAGGTGAAAAGTAAGCAAACACAAAATGATGCAATTACTAAGTATAAGGAAAGTAATGTTGAGCAAAAAACAGAAGAATAAACATGATGCACTTTGGCCCAGCTGTGACAGTTATTTACAGACGTAGTAATAATGTAAACACCAGTGATTAATGAAATCAAAATCATTATGGGAAAATGGGCAAGAGAGGAGATGTAGCAGAGTTAAACCATTTTTCTAAAAAGAAAAAATTTAGTTATATAGACCTACTATAGAGAATGTAGTATAAACTGCCAGAAGAAATAACTAAAAAGACTTGAAAAGAGTTGCTTCAGCGATATGCAAAATGGGGGTCTGATGAGGGTCATCTCTTTTTCTTGTAAAAACAGGTACATGTCTTTCAGAGTTAAAAAATCAATTTTAAAAAGATAGCCTTCACAGAGCACTTTTGTAGAATATATATATTTATTTCTCAAGCATTCTAAATTCCCTAGGATTCTGAGAACTGTATAATTTGGGGATGTAAAGTCAGCAGAATGTTCTCTGAGGAGGTAATGATTTCTAGTAGTAGTGGTGGTTTGTTATTCTTCGTTATAAATATTCATTTTGTTGTAGTGCTAACAAATGGAGATTTTAAACCACATGGCAGATTAAAATATATTGCATTTCAACATCTCAGATTTAAGTGTTTAGTTTCCCTCTTTGTTGTCAACACTTTATATTGTGAATTGACTGCTCTATGCTTCTCTGAAGCTTTTTGTTGAGTGATGTTTCAGATGTTAGTGTTTCCCGTCCCTCCTTATTTAGTGTTTAAAAATACAGCATGCTTATTACAGTCCTTAAGAGTGTGTATGCAATAGTTGCTCCAAAAGCAATAGATAACACCTTGTCTTTCACGATACCTGATATAAAATGCAGAATTTTTTCAGAGCCCAAATTTTGTAACTTGGTACAGAGATTGACTATTAAATAAGTTAATCTTTGAAAGAGTTTTTCTGTTTCCTAATTAAAAGGCACTTGGATTGTTTCTGTAAAAGACAGTGTCAATCTAAAAGCAGAGCATTGAACAAGTTTCTTGAGAGCTTGTTTGGTGCTCCTAGCAGGGGAGAGCAGCTACGCATATCCTTCTCTGAATGGGCTGTCTCTTCTCAGGAAGGGCGGGCCTCTTTCTTCACTATTCATTGTGTGCAGCTTCAGGAGGATGGCTCAAGGAGCGGTGAGGGAGGGGTCATCTGCTCAGCCAGCCATATCAGACAGTCAGCCCTAATGATCAGTGGGTGACATGTCGCAGCCACATTGCCCTCATATAGGCAAAAGAATTAATCATGCTAGGCCTCCTTTTCCCATCTGTAAAGTGAGAATGTTATAGGGCAGGGAGAGGGGCAGCCCAAACCCCGCAAACCTGCCTATTCTAAATGGGTTCTGCCATCCGCCGCATCAACACAAAACATATGAGACTTTAATGGGAAGGAACTTTAATAAAACTAGGAAACCATACAGGAAAGGCAAAGAGTCTAGTTTCTAAATGAAGCACCCAAAGTTACCCATCCCCTCGTGGGTAAAAGTCCATCCATATGGGATTGGCCCGGAACAAGGCCCCAAAGCCTGCCACAAGTCTAAAGCATCTTCCAGTGGGGACCCACAGAAAAGGGTCAGAAACAACCAGACAAGCCCGGAAGGAAAAGAGCAAAATCAACATTAAGATAAAAGCTGCCATTGTCACCTCCCTATGGGTCTCACCGACATCTGTGTCACCCAGTCCACGACCAAAAGACAAGCGCAGTTTCTTCACGTGTCTCTAGGCTCCATGCGCCTCCTCCAGGTCTCCTGGCTCCATCCTGCTTCCTTCCTCAGTCTCTTCTGCAGCTTCTCCTCTCCCTGCTCAGCTCCACCCTCCCTTGGGTGGGACAGGGAACCTCCCCCTTTCCTGGGGACCACCTTGTTATGAGAATACCTACTTCCTAATTGTGATGGTTAATTATGCATCCTGTAAAAACAAAATTCTGTTACGTTAACTTTTTTCTTTTGATCAAGCAAGAAATTTTATTTTATGTGAATTATCAGTGTATTTTCCACAAAACTAGGACAAGAATACATGTGTTCTGCATTTAAATCTGTATGCCCATAAAGTAAAGACAAAAGATTCCTTCAGTGAAGAATTTATGGTAATCATTGAATTTTTGGTTTTGTTTGTTTTTGACTAAGGAGAATGGGGTTGAAATGAAATGGAAAGACAATTTTCTCTTTCTGAAATTTGTACTGTTTTCTCTGTAAAACAAAGAACATGTGACCAAATCCAACTTGTTTTTTTTTTTTTTGTATTTATTATCCTCCCCCTTTCATTGCGTTAGCCAAGTTTTCTTTCTATTTTTTTTTTAAAGATTTGTTTATTTATTTATACAAGCACTGGGTACAGTCAGGAGCACGGGAGGGTGAGAGAATTCACCAGAGCGGGAAACAGAGCAGGCAGAGTGACAAAATACATTGCTGAGGGGAGCAGCGGGCGTGGCAGGAGAAGTCTGTCGTGCCATGTGGGACCCTCCCTGGCGGCCAGGAATCGAACCTGCGCTGCAGAGGCTGCGGGCAGCTTCGCAGCCCAGCACTCAACTGCTGCGCCACCAGGGGAGGCACATCCAACTTAAGTTTTTTAACTTCTAATCTTTAAAGTATAATTTGTGCTCTTTCTTTAAAAGTAGAAGCTTACTTATTCATAGTGCTTTTCTGTTGAAGTCCCCGTTCTTTTTATTTTTTAAAATTTTCTAATTTTCTCTGTTCTTTTTAAAATAAGTAATGAAAATATTTAAAACTATTTTGTACTCAGGGCATTTTGGAGAGTAGGGAGAAATTGATATTCTGCAGACTTTGTAGTTAGTAATTATTTTATCTCTTATTTAAAAAGAAAAACATTTATAGGATTTGGGGTAGAATTTATTTTTAAGGTCTATTTTATATATATCTTTGCATACCTTCTATGGAACTTCAGAGTTTAGGAGTTCATGTGGATTTATATTATAGCTATATATTTAACTTATCACTGGAGATTCCACGCTCAACATTCTTTTTTAGGTGTGACTTTCTTCTTTTTCATTCACCCAGGGTTACTGGCCCAGGCATTACTGTTGTCAGACCCTAATATTAGATGCTGAGGGTTGCATGGTCTTGTGCCCTCGAGGACCTCAATCTGGTCATGGAATCACTTGTATAAACAGAAAATTACAATACAACAGGCTAAGTACTAAAATAAAAAATATGAAAAATGTCCAGTGAGAGTAATTGAGGAGAAGTCATTAGTTCTGCTAGGTGTAATGAACAAGACTGACAAAAAGCTGGACTTTGGGCTTACAACAAGCATTTCCCAGGATAGAGAATTAGGGGAAGGGTTCATATATCCTTGCTTAGCCAGCTGTATTACATGTAAAGCATTTTATATACTTTTTTGTCATTTTATTTATTATTTTTGCAACTTGCAAATAACTTTTGGTGGATTGGCTTGGGAGCATGTTGTCACAGGACATGGTGGTGAATTTGGGGAGGTAGCTTACAGTTGTGGAAATAGAGAGTATATGGTAGGCTTACATGTGTCTTCACATCCTAACACTGGTGTCAGTCACAGCAAGGTCAGAATTCTGCTATTAATAGCTGTGTGATCCTGGGTAAGCCATTTCTTCTTTTTGGATTCCGTTTTCCTCTGCTTTAAAAGAGAAGATTGGTATCCATCCATGGGCATTTCCTATTGGTAGTTGGGGTGGAGGGAGGGAGAAACTGTGACAAAAATTTGGGAACATGGAGTTAAACACAATTAAGTAGATTTCTTTACTGTAGCCTTATATATTAGTGGCAAGTAGATGAAATTCCTGGGCTTTTTTTTTTTTTTTTTTTTTAACATTTTTTTTTTTTTTTTTTTTTTTTTATAGAGGCATGCTTTATTTATTTGTTTGCTGGTTTGTTTGTTTGTTTTGTTTATACATGCACTGGGTACAGTCAGAAGCGCGGGAGGGTGAGAGAATTCACCAGAGCCAGAGCGGGGAGCAGAGCAGGCAGAAGGACCGAAGTACACTGCTGAGGGGAGCAGCGGGCGGCAGGAGAGGTCTGTGCGCCATGTGGGACCCTCCTCCGGTGGCCGGGGAGCAGCCGGGGATCGAACCGGCGCCACAGAAGCCGCGGGCAGCTTCTCAACCCAGCGCTCAACCGCTGCGCCACCGGGGAGGCCCAATTCCTGGGCTTTTTAAAGTCAAAACTTGTGTGTGGAATGAGTGGGGTCAATAATATTTATAGCTCTGTCCTTTTCCTAATGGGTTAGTGGAAAAAGCATGGGCTTTAGAAATACATATATCTGGATTTGAATCCTGACTGCTATTTAGTAACTCTGTGACCTTAGGTATGTTATTTAACCTTTCTGAACTGGTTTATTTATGTGTAAAGAGGAAGACTAATGCCTTATGGATCTGTTAAGATTAAGCAATGCTTCATATGAAAATATCAAATATAATACTTCATGATATATTATTTATATTTTGCCCACATCTGGTGTTTGAGGTGGGCTGTTTGTGTGTTTCATATATACTTATAGAATTTCCCCAAGAAAACAAAGTTAGCTCATTATATTTTACCATCCACATAGCACTCTCCTGGAGTCTTAGTAAGTGTGCTTGATAAATACCTGACAGTTTTTTCCAAAACAGTGGAATGAGATGAGATATGGTCCCACTTGGTGCATATTTTGTTTTACATTTTTCATAACCGTGGGTAGAAGTTAGTGAATTTATGGGTATTAATTTTTAATTTCTTTAGTTACTTATGTTAAATGATTAACTTTTAAGTTTGAAGTAACTAGGATTGACTGTAAATGAGCGATCTTTAAGCAACCCACAAGGAGAAAAGGTTGTAATAAAGTATTGCTTAATATTGCAAATTATATTACTGGAATACTAATGTATTACATTTTGTTTTGTCTCTAAGCAAATGGTTATGAGCCTTAGAGTTTCTGAACTCCAAGTACTGTTGGGCTACGCTGGGAGAAACAAGCACGGACGCAAACACGAACTTCTCACAAAAGCCCTGCATTTGCTAAAGGCTGGCTGCAGTCCTGCTGTACAAATGAAAATTAAAGAACTCTATAGGCGGCGGTTCCCCCAGAAAATCATGACACCCGCGGACTTGTCCATCCCCAACGTACATACAAGTCCTATGCCAGCAACTTTGTCTCCATCTACCATTCCACAACTCACTTACGATGGTCACCCTGCATCATCACCGTTACTCCCTGTTTCTCTTCTGGGACCTAAACATGAACTGGAACTCCCACATCTTACATCAGCTCTTCATCCAGTCCATCCGGATATAAAACTTCAAAAATTACCTTTTTATGATTTATTGGATGAACTGATAAAACCCACCAGTCTAGGTAAGATTATTTTATAATGGTTATTTGGGGGGAATAAATTTTCACTTAAGCCTTTGAATTTGACAGCTGTTTGTAATGAAATTTGCTTTTGGTAGTAACATCTAGATGACAAAAAGGATCTTTCAATTTTAGATGAAAACAAATACAGAAAAGCTATCTTTAGACAAAGGAAAATAAGACTTAGTCAAGTTCCCAGTACTGGTTGCTTACATAGTAAATACTAAAATGTTTCAGAAAAGTACAGTAATTTTAGATTGTTCATCAATATTTTACAATACTCTTCTAAATTGAAAAGTCTAAACCTCTGAATTCAGTTCTTAATTTTCAGGGGTTGATGATATCGAAAACAAATGACTAACAAGTTGAGATTATTTAAATGGGTAAATAGTTTTAATTATTACAAAAGAAGATTTGAGGTTCAATGTGTATTATTTCAGTTTGAACTGACTTTCAAGTGGATATATCTGCTTTGCAGGTACACACATGATCATGGTCTGTAAAACAAATCACTTGAAATTTTATTTGTTGTGTTTTCCCATCTAATTACCATCTAGCATATTAATAGAATTCAATGTATTAGCTTGTCACTTTAGTTGCTATACTGATGCTTTATTTAACGTAGAATAAAACTGACCCTATCTCTAATGCCTTTGGTATGATGTATTTAAAATATCATACTTCCAGATGTTGGTTCATTCTTATTAAATCAGTGTTTGCCAAACTGTGGCTGGCAAAGCCAGTGCAGCCTATGACCTGTTTTTGTGTGGATCTGAACTAAGAATTTTTTTTATATTCCTAAAGGGTTGCAACTAAATAAATAAAAAAGAATATATAATAGAGACCATGTATGTCTGAAAAAACTGAAATATTTACTGTCTGAGTCTTACAGGAAAATTTTGCTGATCCTTATTACAAAATATTAAATATTTCAGCTTGGGGATTGGTGAACGGTGAATTTTGAGAGCATTTACTGAAATTTTTTGGATTGGAAAGTGTTTTTAGTTATATTTAGCAAAATTTACCTGAATAAATGAAGATCATAGAAGTTATTTTCAAGCAACATGGATTTTATATAACATTTTAAAATAGCCATAGTAAGAAAACTTTTATTGAGAACCTACTACATACTTATAAAGCATACATATTTATAAAAAATGAAAGCATTAAAGACCTTTCCAGCTTAGTATATCTGCACACTACGTGTACAAGCAAGCTAGGTTTCTTGTTTTTTTAACAAGAAATCATATTATATATACTATTCTATGACTTTCCCTTTTTCGACATATTGCTATATTATAGACACCTCAGTGTCTATGTGGTATGTGTGTGTACAGGCACACAGGGGTTGATACAAATCCATATTTAATAAAAAGCTACATATATACATACACACATGCATATGTACACACACATTTGGTTTGTTGGGTGTGTATGTGTACACATATATGTCCATACATATATATATATATATATATATATATATATTTTCTAGCTCATTTCTTATTAAAGACTACATACCGGCCAGCCGAGAATTCCACATGGCATGGCAGACGACTCCTGTCTCGCCTGCTGCTCCCGTCAGCAGTGTGCTTCAGTCAGTCTGCCTGTTCTGTTCCCCGCTCTGTCTCTGGTGAATCCTCTCACCCTCCTGCACATCTGGCCTATACCGCAGTTCTTGTATGCATGAATAAATAAATCTTAGAAAAAAAAAAAAAAGACTACATACCAATCCACAATGTAAATGTTCTCTGTTAAAAGACAAAATTTTCAGCTAAAACTTAAAAGGAAAAAATGGTGGCTTTTATTGATTTCCAGTTCTCAGATATTCATCTGTTCTTAATAATTAATGTATTTTGCTGTTTTAATTTCCACTGATATAACTTCCAAATAACAGTATGAATAGATGATACTTCCATATGTATCTAAATCTTGTTATGGAGAGTAGAAATTCAAACTGAACATCATCTTGGTTATATTGGATAATTTAATTAGACTTAAGAGAATTTTCAAGCCTCCCTGGTGGCACAAGGGGTTAAGCACCATGCTGTGAAGTGATCTGCAGCCTCTGCAGCACAAGTTCCATCCCCAGCCAGCCAGAGAGAAACCCACAGGGCGAAGCAGACCTCTCCTGTCTTGCCCACTGCTCCCCTCAGCAGTGTATTTCAGTGTATTTCATTCTGCCTGTTCTGTTCCCTACTCTGTCTCTGGTTAATCCTCTCAAACTCCCCACCCCCGCCTTGCATCTCTGGCCGGTACCTCAGCTCTTGTATGCATAAATAAATAAATCTTTAAAAAAAGGAGAATTTTAAATTACTTTTACTGAGATAACTTTGTTGGGACACATATGCTGTATGTTCTTTCTAATTGTCTGCACTGTCTTTTTATACCTACATTAGCATGTGACTGAGGGGCACCCAGGGACCCCCCAGACTGTTAAGGGGTACATGCTTTGGAAGGCCATCTGTACATACAAAGACAAAGGAAGCAGACTCTTAGTATGAAAGATTTTTAATAGAATTAGTGTGCATAGAGAGAAAAGAAAGATTGTTCCAAATAAAACTCCAAAAATACCTATCCCCTTGTAGGAGAATGCCCAGTCAAACATATTTGGCCCAAAGCAGGGCTGCTGAGACCTAAAAGCTTGCCACACATCTAAGGTACCTTCTGGCAGGGAACCACAGGAAAGGGATTAGCCAGATCCCAGAGAGCTGAGGCAGGAGAAAAGCACAAATCAAAATCAAAGTACAATCGAGACAATGGCTGCCATTGTCTCTGCCAAGGACAGCCTCCCTGTATATCTCTCACCCACATGTTTCTTATAAGTATCTCTTCCAAGTCTCTCTACATGTCTTTCCTCAACGTGTGTCCTCCAAGTCCCTAGGTCCAAGTTGAAACTAGAAAAGCAAGAGAGTGAGTGACCTGCTGGCCTTCCTGCCTTGTACATAGGTTCAACTGGCCACTCATTTCCTAGTTGCCAATAACTTTTCAACCCCCTCAGGAAGTCCAGTCATAGTATACTGGGACTTGTAGGTCACTACATGTAAGGTCACTACATGTAAGTAGGGGTGAGGAAAATGACTCCTCCTCTTCACAGAGCGGTATCTATAATACCTGCATAGAATCTTATATGTCATTGTTTTAATGTTTTAAACTTTTATCCTAATAAACACTCTGGGAGAGATTCTGGAGGAGCAGAACTTAATACCCCATTGGAAGGCTGAGTTCCTCCAAGCCCACAGTTTGACCTTGGGTCTGCACTGCTCTGTGGTGGCCCTGACACTGAGCACAGGGAACACAAGTCCAAACTAAGTTGTGCTCTAAGAGTAAGACCCTACATATAGGGTCTCAAAAAGTACAAAAAATAGTATATGATAGCTCATTAGTAACATATTCATTATATACTGACATATTTTGAATATAGAGGGCTAAATAAAATACATTAAAGTTGAAAAAAACGTATTTTTAATCTACTTATATTTTCATTTGCTGTGAAAACACTTTTTAATTTGAGATAATCCTAATTTTTTTCTTTTTGCTTTTATTTCCCTAGCCTTGTTGATAGACTCTCCAAAAATATCTTTATCATTGATACCATGAAATCGCCAATGTTTTCTTGTTCATATTTATTGTTGCAGGCCTCATGTCTATATCTTTAATCCATTTTCAGTTAATTTTTGTGCATGGAGTTAGAGTGTTCCAGTGTCATTCTTTTATTACAAGTGGCTGTCCAGTTTTCCTAGTACTAGTACTATTTGTTAAAGAGATTGAGCATTATTTCTAAACCATTGTACTGTAGTTGATTACTGAAGAATATCCCCTTTTATCCAATTGAATTTCAGCCTGTAGATAATTGATAAAATGGATGATGAAAATGATCTGATCATAACTTAAGCATCTTAACTTTAGTGTAAAATATTAATGATTATTCGCCTGCCAATCTTTTGATAAAAGTCAAGTGTTTTATTTGAGACTGCTGATTTCCCAGTTTTAAATTCTTTAAGGCAGTGAGGGTATTTAAAGATTTTTACTAAGCATTTTGAGTACAGAATTTGTTATAACTGAAAAAAAATTCTTTTATAGTTATGTAACTTGCCTAATCCCATAGCATTTTTTAAAGTAACTTGCTTTTATCCTGTCTTCGCAGAACATTCAACTTAGTTTTCATAACAACAGCAACTCTTTCTTTTTTATATTTCATCTTTTTTTGTTAATATTTAAGTTTTATAATTACAAGTGCAACTGGCATAAGCAATTTGAGCATAAACAACTCTGGTTCTTGGTAAGAGCTCCAAGTAGCATGAGCAAAAAGAAGTACTCGTGAGCAGAAAGAAGTATGCAGAAGCACTGGAGAGTGGTCTATAGGCGCAAGCAGTCAGCTTGCTACTAGAGCATTTGTCAGGATGTTTTCTAGAAACAATGGAGAACATAGGTTGATCTAACTGAGAGCAGATGAGTTAAAGCTTTTACTGATTTCTTTTACACCATTCTTGTTTAACTCTCTGAAGACAGTGAAATTAGAAGATTAATTGCTCTCTTGTTTAAAAATAATTTTAAGTGGTTTCTTCTGTAGAAGAGCTATGTGGATCATGATTATGGTTGAGTGTTTTTGTTTTATTTTAGAAATTTACTTTTATCTCCCTCTTTTTTGGGTGGATTATAATGGTGGGTGGGGAGTGGGGAGAGAAGTATGAAATAAGCAAATTGTTTCTTTATCTTTTAATTTTGTTTGTAGTCTTTCTTTTTAAATTCATTTCAATCCTTTTTTCTAACACCCCCCCCACCCCCCAGCTACAGTAACTAATGAGGATAGGATAAAAATACGCAGTCATTTTCTCTGAAAATTTTTTTTTTTACTAAAAGTTGTCAAAATATTGGAAATTGTCTGGAAGACTATCTCCTATTCTTGGTCCTCCTAAATTCCGAAAGTATTCAGTGTTGTTTGGAAAGTATTTGGCTACTACACACTGAAGAATCTGAGACACATTTTAATTGAGCACATG